CTGCCGATATCGCCGTTGGAAGACGCTAAATCTCAAGGAGGTTACACGATCGCTCTCCCACGTGTAACGTCACGACAGTTAATTCTTGGCCATCAACATCTAAAATTAAATCCAGCTATTTTCTCTTCTCTCATCTAATTGGCCTTTTGCTACATTCTTGCACCTCTGTTCCTCTGACAAGAGTCAGTTGTATCATGTTTAAAATTAGCTGTAGCTGATATCAGTAGTTAAGCAATAAATATCGAATGATGCTTCTATATCTATTTATATTGTTTGCAAATAAGTCTTAAGAAAATGTCCCAATCAACACCTCCTGTATATTGCTTTTATACTGATGATACTTATATATTATACACCACCACCATTCAAGCTTTGACTACAAATTCCCTGAACATCAACACTCTAACTCTACGAATTTGCATAATTCCGTTATTTATATTATGGACAACAAATGACTATTAATACAACTTTTCCATCTAATCTGATTCAAATTCCTCTATATTAATATCTATGATATGCCAGTCATCAATTACATGGCCTTCATACATGCTTTCACAATACATAATACAATCTTATTATTATATCAACACATTTGCATACCTTGTGTATTTTGTGGAAGATTATATTAATATCCTAAAAAACCAAAATGGCTACCATATGATGTACAAATTCTGTTATTCACTTGGCAAATACAACCAACATAGATTTTCAAAAAAAAAAATGGTTTACTAACTGATTGACAAATTCTTGTCAGGTAAACTAACATTTAAACTGTATTATGTATAACTTTAAACAAAGGGGCAAAGCCCCTACTACTACAGAACTCTTCTCTAGTTATTATTATAAAGATATTCTTGTTGCCCATACTAATACTTCATAACAGGAGGCCCCACTTCAAGAAATAGTAAAAAATGAAAGAGTAATTTTGATACCTTCAATTTGAGCTAAAGTCAACTGGGACACAGAAAAGAGTCAAACATGTTTTACATTTATTATTATGGTGAAATATCAGTACAGTTTTATTTGTTGAAGTTAACAACACTCAATGCTGTAAAGCTTCCTTTGTGCCAATATGTTCCCATAAAAATCACTCCTTGTTTCTGATGTAATTACAACTACATTATCTTCATATTTCTCATCTGAACGAGCATGAGCATCAGTAACAAAAACAAAGATATGATTTCCATCATATGCATCTGTCACTTTCTTATGTTCTACTTCAACAAGACCCTTATCCAAGATATTTGGTGAGTAGGTTGTTACTTCCTTTCTGTGACTCTGAGCTTCTAGCTTGTCTTGAATGAATAAAGGTGGGTCTGTCATAATGATTCCATCTGCAAATTGGGCACCTGGCAAATTCTGGAAAGCAATTCCAACCTCAAGATCATCAGGGCCATGTTCCAAGTCTGAATGGTATCCTTCTTCAAATTTCTGCCAAGTAAGTGAATCATTAATTTGGTGTGGAGTTTGCTGGATACCAAAGCTTGGTATAAATTTGATAAAGGGATTGGATTGTTGCTGACGAATTGGAAGAATGTTGCTTAGGTAACATCGAGTGTCTACACCAGTTCCATTATTTATGGCTTCCATTATGGCATTCTGGATTGATTTATAATAGAAACCCCATAGGCGAAACATAATGACTGAGAGAGAGAGTTCTTCATTTTGGTCAGAAGAAATAAAGTTGTCAAGTGTTCTGAGGGGCCTAGGAATTGGGAGTGTCTTAGGGTCCAATTGATGAATTATTCGATTCACAGTGAGGAAATCTATCGTTTGGGAAAGGTTTTCTAACTAACGCGTTTATAGACAATTAAATAAATATCCTGTATAAAACTGA